CCAATAATCGATATAGTGATAACAGAACTTGAAGCATAAGTCAAATAGAGGAAATTCTACCACTGCAAGAGACCTCAGAGTTCACCTAGCCTAATTTGCATGGTTAAAAAAAAATTTTGTGCGACCTTAAGATGTGTTGACTCCTGCTAATTTTATGCTGTACATGTTAGGCTTGTTTCCCCAAAGGTGCTCTTCCGGGGATATCTGGGTTGCCATGCGAACCCAATTGGAAAGTCATTGAAAGGTGGGTGATGTGATGTGTGACTCCTCTTTTTTGAGGCTGTGGATGCCTTTCAGCATTGCTGCCTAAGCCTTTAAAGCTTTCCTTTGGCTTCAACTTTAGAAGGGGCTGGGGCCAAGACAAGGAAAGAAAATGAGGCTGTGGGATCTAGAAATGGATCATTTACAACCTCAAGACAGGTAGTGGGTGCCCTCGGCCATAGGGCATCAGTGTTTCTTTGGAAGATATCGCAAGTGCTGAACATTCTTCATAAGATATAGAACCTCTATTTTCATACATGCAAACAATTTGTTTTATTCAATCAGCGGCAACATTTATAGCAGACAAGGGCAAATTTAAACTTCAATGCCCTGAAGAGGTATATTATATAGTAATAATAGAAACAGCTTGTGAAGAGTATATTACATTTATAAATCTGCTTGCAATCATAGCCTCTAACTACATAGAGCAAAATATTTTAGGGAAAGGGGAAAAATTTGAGAAAAGAATTATCGTGGAAGAGAAAATATTCCTCTTCTGGAATTGGGCAGATCTAGTTAAAAACAAAGCCAAAAAGGACATAAAAGGAACTGCCATTTTTGATGCGATCAATAAACTTTAATAGATGTATGTTAAACCTCACATAAATCTAATGAAGAATATTTTCTCAGATTCACAGAACATTTATGAAATTGGTCTCGCATTTGTATTGTGCATGGTCTCAAAACCTCAACAATTTTAAAATACATTTTTCCAGTTTAATTCAGAAATAATCCACATACATCACTGTAAGGCATACGGCATAATGACTTGATTTATGTATTGTGAACTGATGACCACAATCGATTCTGATAACATCCATCTTCTCATGTCAATACAATAAAAGGAAAAGAAAGAACAAAAGAAAAAAGGGTGTGTGTGTTTCTCTCAACTTTTTAAAATCTATTCATCCATCAATGGACCCTTAGATTGCTTCCCTGATGGTTACTGTAAAAAATGCTATGAACATGGGGAGCAGATATCTTTTCAAGTCAGTGTTTTTGATTCCTTTGTATATATTCTGAGAAGTGGAATTGCTGGATCCTACAGTAGTTCTAATTTTAATTTTTTGAGGACCCTTTATACTTTTTGTACAGTGGCCACACCAATGGTGCATAAGAGCTCCCTTCTCGCTGCTACCTCATCAGCATTTGCCATTTGTTGTTTCTTCTGTAAGTTAAGGTGGTAGCTCACTGTGATTTCTACAGATAAACTCTTACATGCTTGCACAAGAATGTTGAAATAATTTTTTTTTTTTGGATAGCAAAAGTATGTTGTTTTATTTTTTCTTATTTTTTAATTTTTTTCCCAGTTTATAAAAAAATTTTATTACATATCTTTTTTATTGTATTTATTTATTTATTTATTTTTATATTCCCCATACAATTGCAACCCCCAGATTTTAACCCCAAACCCTCCTTTCCCCGCCCCCACAAAGTGTGTCTCGGGTTCATAGTTGTTTGTTGATTTTGATTTTTTTCTTTCTTATAGTTATTCTTTTTCCTGGTCCCTTATTTAGGTTTTCTAGATTCCTGTAATGAGTGAGACCATCCGGTATTTTTCTTTTTCTTTCTGGCTTATTTCGCTGAGCATGATCCCTTCCAGCGCCATCCACGTTGCTGCAAATTGCATGAGTTTATCTTTTTTGAATGCTGAGTAATATTCCATGGTGTATATGTACCACATCTTCTTGATCCAGTCATCTATTTTTGGGCATTTGGGTTGTTTCCAAAGCTTAGCTATTGTAAATAGTGCTGCTATAAACATAGGGGTGCAGGTGCTCTTTGGAATTAAAGTTTCTGTGTCCTTTGGGTAAATACCTAGGAGTGGAAATGCTGGATCATATGGAAGCTCTATCTTTAGTAGGTTGAAGAATCTCCACAGAGTTTTCCATAGTGGTTGGACCAGTTTGCACTCCCTTGAAATAATTTTTTTTTGCAGTGAAATGTTGGTAACAGGCTCAAGTCTGCCAGCAGGGCCCTGGTTAAATGAATTATGATCCATTCATAAAAGATGTGTCTTCTATATGAGTCGAGTCTAAATATGTCCATATTTAAAAGCTATATTCAAAATATTTTGAACTGAAAAAAAAAAAACCAAGGAGTGCATGATGTTCCTATATTTGTGAGAAAAGGAAACAAGCATATAGAATATATCAATGTGTATACACAAATACATGTGTATGTATGTGATTGCATTTGTACACATCATAGAACATCTATGTATCCTTGGAGTATATTAAGGGTTGTTTTGGGGAGTAGACCTGGGAATTTAGAGAACATAGGTAGGTTTAATTGTATACTCTTTTATACTACAGAATTTAAAAAGACAAATATTTATTTAGTACTTAGTATAGTCCATATTTTTGCTAAGCATTTTATGCCCATTTGATGCATGAGGAAAGTGGAGCCAGTTGAGCAAATTGTATGTGTTTCTGTAGCTGGAAATAATGAAGCCTGTTTGGAACCCAGGCTGTCTAATTCCAGAGCCTATGTGTGTATTTGACCTTTTTCCACAAATTAAAACCAAAAATTTGAGGTTAAAATCAACCTTACTGAGTCAGAAATTTCAAAATAGTGGAGCCAAAAAGGAGGTATAATTTAATTCACTCTTGTTTAGTTGGGAAATCGTTTCTTTTGGTTGGAGTGTGAGATGCACCTGGTAAATCACTCTCTATCTTGGACCTTTTGTTGAGAGACTTAGAAAAATCTTGAAATTATGCAACTGGCATAGCAGGTCTATGTCATATCCCTCTATGTGTCTTTACTGGAAAATTTTAAGTAGCAGCCTTAGGGCATAATGCTCTAAGAACTGAAAAGATCTCATTGTGTGGCATGTCTCTGGAGCTTGTGTTCGCCTGATCTCTTGTGACTAATCCATCAGACCCATGAACAAAGATGATTCAAACTGTGCATGGTTTCATTTCTTCCAGATCACTCTCAAAGTGATTTTTGTTTCTGATCAGACATTCCTTAACATAGAGCAGGGAAATTAAGAGCAAAGGACAGAAAAATTACCATTTGGAAAGAGCCAAAGGACTTCAGACTAAAAGGCCAAGTTTAAACCTTAGCTGAGTAGCTAACAGATGGAAATATACAGTAGCTCAGAGATGGAAACAATCTAAATGCTCAAAATACAGATGACTGGATCAAGACAATGTGGTATATATACACAATGGAATATTACTCAGCAATCAAAAAGATAAATTCATGCCATTTGTAGCAACATGGATGGAGCTGGAAGGGATTATGCTCAGTGAGATAAGTCAGAAGGAAAAAGAAAAATATTGAATGGTTTCACTTATAGGAGGAATACAGGGAAACTGAATAAAGGGTCCAGAAAAAAAGACAAAACTAGTAGGCAAATTATAGAACTGAGACATACTGCCAGGGAGGGAGAGAGAGATCAAAAAAGGGGAGGGACTATAACAAGAAGAGCACAAGACACTATGTTGACAATTCACTGGTGAGGTGGTATTGGGAATTTTATGGGGATTACACCTGAGGGGAGAAATCATACATTGTACAAAAATGAACAATGATGAAAAAAAAAATCTTAGCTGATTATATAGACAAGTCATTTAACTTTCTGATCCTGCTTCTTATCTGTAAATAAACATGCAACAGCTTACCACAGAGGCTGTTGTGAAGATTAAATGAAACACTGTGTAAATGTTGCAAGCTCAATACCTAGCACATAATAGGTGCCTACATGAGTGAAAAAGCTCGATACCCCAGTGCATAGTTACTCAAAATATATGAGCTGAAGCTGACTATGAGTTTCTCAAGTACAGGCACTCATTCATAGTTGTTGTTTGAATGGCTGAGCCAATGAATGAACAATTTCGGTTAACATAGTTGTGTGCAAGTAGTTGTACACCTATGATAGACAGGTGAACCAGGTCAAAAACCCAGAGTATGAATTTGTCACTCAAGTATGAAAATGGGAGAGTTAATAGTTCACAGGTGGAACATGAGGTTTCAAGAGCTTTAATTTCAAGAATAGTATGTGGTTCACAAGAACCTTCTCAATTAATATCATAGTGCAGGTCCTTTGAGGCAATGGAATCTGCCCTCATCCAGTGATTCATTGTTAGTTTCTTAATATTATTATATTTGTAGCTCAAAAGAGTTCATGTATCCCAGTGCTTCTGCTTCCGGCTCTTATTACTAATTACTTACATCAGTGATAACTGAGACTCTTGGAGAGTTACAGAGAGGAAAAGAACAGGAAGACTCCAGGTAGTGGGAACACACTCAAGACAACTCCTCATTTTCATTTCCTCTCTCAACTCAGCCCTGTGATCATATCACCTTTGGCTGAAACCACATCCTGAATCCTAACTGTACCTCTTTGTACTGACTCAAGAATGTTGGTCCTGCAATATGAGGTTTTGTGTCACTTCCAGGGAAGGATACTTAAATCCAGCCCTGATAATAAGGCAGAGTGACTCCAGGGAGAAATGCCCAGTGTCTGAGCCCTGCTATGTTAGGTTTAAGCTGAGAACTAAAACACAAAAGCCTTAAGCACAATAATTGTGCTTTTGAAGTCTGGAAATGCTACATAAATACATGAACCCTCTTAAAAGGACATAGTTTGGCTAGTAAGTTCCCCCTTAAATACTTGGTAATAAAATAAGCCCTGTTCTCCTTGCAATTTTTTTTTTTAGTAAATGATTGTACTATACACATTACACACACAAAAAAGGCCAAAACTTGTTTTTTTCCCCCTTTTCCATTAGCTAGTGCACAGATCGTGAAAATGGCAAAATACAAACAAGCTTCTTTGTACTGACAGTGTCTGAGACTAATCATTGCTTGAAAGGTGATAATGCACTTTTGTAACTTTATTTTCTTTTAAAGATTTATTTATCCATGCATACAAGAACAGGGATACAGGCCAGAGTGTGGGTGGTGAGAGGATTCACCAGAGACAGAGTGGGGAACGGAACAGGCAGATTGACTGAAATACACTGCTGAGGGGAGCAGAGAGTGAGACAGGCGAGGTCTGCTGCGCCATGTGGGTTGCTCCCTGGCCAGCTGGGATTGAACTCATGATGCAGAGGCTGCCAATTGCTTCATAGTTTTTGTCTTAATCCCATGATGAAACTTCTTGTTATTGTTGAGATGTTTTCTGTTATATAGTTATTTTTATACAGTAGGTGGGTAACCTTAGAGAGTAACACCTTAAACATCTGTCATGATTCCTATGATGTGACATTCTCAGTAGTGGCCTTATGCTTTCCTTTCTCATAGCATGTTGATTAATGTTTGGTCATGGAGGAGACTGGATGTGTCTGGCATGCTGGCCAATGGCATTAAGGTGGATGAACATTCCTGCCTCAGACATTCTTTCCTTGGATTGAAATATCCTTTGGTGCTTCAATTATCTTGAACAGTGAGTTTCTTCTATTTAGCTTACTTGTTTTTTAAATGGGGGGAAGGAAAAAATCAATAGCAATGGGCAACTCGAATGGAGCCGGAAGGGATTATGCTAAGTGAAATAAACCAGTAGGGAAAAAGAAAAATACTGGATGATTTCACTTATATGTGGAATATGGAGAAACCAAGGAGTCAGATAAAGCCAACACAAAACAAATTAACAAAAAAAAAATCTGACTGGAGAACTGAGGTTACCAGTGGAGGAGGGTAAGGGTGGAGAGCAAAGTGTGGAGGGGCCCAGTGGACTATGGTGGAGGACTAGGGGTGCCTTGGTGGTGGGTGGGGTATATAACATACAGATGAAAAGGAGTGATCCTATATCTCTGAAGCACATGCAGCGTTGTAAACCCGTTTTACCTCAATAACAAAAATTCTTTAAAATAAAAAGCAGCATGGGTCACTGCCAATATTTACAATTTTTCCCCCTCTCGGGCTGTGTGTACACATATCAGACCCTTTAAGGCTGTACTCACAATGGGATCTTAAGTGTGTGTGATGATTGTCAAAGAATTGTGAGGGTGACTTCCATCTAGGGGGTGTCTGGGTTGCTCTGTTTGTGCTGAACTTTTCCACTTTCCTGAGTTTAGAAAGACTGCAAGCTTGTGGAGTCACTTAACATTCTGTGACCATTTAAAGCAAATGGATTTCAGAATTTATAGATGACTTCTGGCTGCTTTTTTTCCTCTCTTGAAGGTCATGGCTCAGTGTCTTATCTCTGCAACTGACCTGTCCTTTTTCCTATGCCCCTTCCTCTTTTATGGCATCAACCATCCCACCAGAAGATACAGGGGTTCTAGAATGCAGTCTTCTGAGATTATGTTAGGTGATCAATTGTCCTGGGAATGATTCCCAGGTCTGGCCTTTCAGTGCCAAAAATCAGGGAAGTCCTGGACAAAGAGCAGAGTGGGCCATCCTACATTTGTTCTTAAAGAATTTTTAATTCACTAACTCCAGGGAGTGGACATTAAGGGTGTGACCCTGTATTGTTGCCCCAGTACTAAATTTTCCCTTGTTGTAAGATCAACCACCCCTCTTTATCCACATCCAATAGGAAGGTGTTGGTCATGCTTCTTTGTGATGGAGGGTCTGTTCTGATTCTCTGCCTGGTACAACAGCCCTTGTTGCCAGTTATGGGTCTTCCCACGTTAAAGCCAATCTGCTCAGGGCCTACACTCCTGTGCTTGGTTCCCAGCTTACAACTCTGCATCATGTGGCTTCCAGCTTTTCCATTCCAAGATATCATCTGTTCAACCTATGCTTAACTGGAAGTCCACCTAGCACTTAGGACAGTGGTTCTCAAAGTGCAATCCTGGGCCCAGGAGCATCAACATCACACAGGCATGTGTCAGAAATGCAAATTCTCAGACCTCACCCCAGACTTAATGAATCAGGAACTTTGTGGGTGGGGCCCAGTGATCTGTGTTCTAACCATTCCTCCAGGTCATTCTAATATACACACAAGTTCATGAGCCACTGTCCTAGATCGTGGCTGTACTCACAGCTAGACTTTAAGGCTGAACCTTGGTGGATGTTTGTTATCTCACTCTCTGCCCATTACTAAGTGTGACCTATCTCCATCCCAACAAGCCTCAAGCTCCTACTGCTATAAAAAACCCTTATTATTGTTTCTGATAGAGCTTGTCCAGGTTTGCCCAGGACTGAGGGGTTTGCTGGGCATGGGACTTTCAGGATTAAAACTGGGAAAGTTCTGAATGAACTGGACATAAAAACAAACAAACAAACAAACAAAAAAACTTGAGGATTCCTTGAGGAAGCCCATGAAGTATTTAATGTTGCTGATTTATGGAGACAGTAGTAATAGGATTACAGAATGATTATTGACCCTTCTGGATAGTCCCTCATTTACATGTAGAAGAAAGAAAAATCCAAAGGAAGACAGTCTATTATGGGATGTGGGGATGCTAATTGTACACTTGAATCATTTTCAAAATCAAATAGGTTATATTTCAATCAAAATTGTTTAAAGAATCTTTTTCTTTTCTGGGAAGCAAATCCAGTAGAGTCAGGATTTTAGAGTGAACTTGCTGTGTGATCTCAGGCAAAGTCCTGATCTACTTTATCAGTAATTGAGACAGTAGTAAAATTTTCATCTAATTACATTAAAGGGAATGACCTAAAGATACATGAGATAAATTATTGTCTATAAAAATACTTTATTTCTTGGATGGATGCTGTGTATACATCATTTTATTAGCAATAAACCCATAGACAGACGCCTTCCAAAGAGAACATAATATCTTTTGCAAAATAAAGAAAGAAACTAGAGGAAGATTCTGACCTTCCCAATGGGAGTCATTTCTCTGTCTTGTGAATTCCTGCAGGGTTCACCACCCAAGCAGATTCTCCACCTTGATTGCACATTCAAGTCACCTGAGTATCTCTTACTGAACAAAACCAAACTAATGCCAAAATACCCCCTTTCCCCAGAGGGTCTGATTTAATTAATCCATGTGGTTCTAGGTGGTTTTTAATTCACCAGGTAATTCAGAGGTGCAGTCAGATTTGATAGTCATAGGTCTGGAGTAATTCTCAAGCATTGATCATAAGAATCATGGGGGGACATATTAGAGCTAAGATTAGCCTCCCTTTCAACCTGGTTAAGGAGATCTGAGATGGGATTGAGGAATCTGCTTGGTACCTACATTTACCTGAGGGTTCTAATGGAGCTTATTGGCCATCTGGTCACTTTTACAAAACTCCCCCTCCCCAAAGTATCTAGGGAATGCTGTAGAGGGTCTAATATATGACAGGAACTTAATAAATGTATGCTAACAAGGCTTGCTGTTTTGTTTCAACAAAGTGATAGGGATTTCAGCTTAGATGGGAGGGACTGGACCTTAGGGTTTGGGAGGAACTCGTGTACATGGTTGAGGGGAATGCAGGCTGGTTCAGCCCCAATTGAAAACAGTATCAAGATTTCTCAAAATATTAAAAAAAAAATCTGCCATATGATGCAGCAATTCCATTCCTAGTTATTTACTCAAAGAATACAAAAGCAGGGCCTCCCTGGTGGCACAAGGTTTAAGACGCAACCTATAAAGCTATCTGCAGCCACTATAGCAAGAGTTCGATTCCCGGCCAGCCAGGGAGCAACCCACATGGCCAGCAGACCTCTCCTGACTTGCCTGCTGCTCCCCTCAGCAGTGTACTTTGGTCAGTCTGCCTGTTCTGTTCCCCGCTCTGTCTCTGGTGAATCCTCTCACCCTCCCCCGCACCCCATGACTCTGGCCTGTGCCCCAGCTCTTGTATGCATAAATAAATAAATCTTTAAAAAAAAAGAATACAAAAGCACTAATTCAAAGGCTTATATATTATTCCTATGATCCCTGTAGCTTTATTTACGATAGCTAAGTTGTGGAAACAATTTAGGTGCCCAAGGACAGATGAGTGGATAAGGCTGTGGTGTATATGCACAGTGGAATACTACTCAGCTATTAAAAAAAGAAAGAGGAACTCTTGCCATTTACACGGCATGGATGGAACTGGAGGATATTATGCTAAGTGAAATAAGAAAGAGAAAGACAAATACCAGATGATTTCACTCACATGTCTAATATAAAAAAACAGAACAAAGGAACAGGCAAAACTAAACAAACCCTTAAACTCTGCAGAGCTAAGGCGACCAGGGTGCGGGTGGGTAAAGCAAATGGGGGAGGGAGCCAATGGTCTATTGTGGAGGACTCTGGGTGCCTTGGCAGTGGGTGTGGTAACATATATCTCAAGGGGTGTGAACCTGTACCTCTGAATTATAGACAGTGATGTAGACTTACATTACCTCAGTTCAAAAAAAAATACAGAAGTACAAGAAAGGATAAACCTTAAAAAATTGCATCGGCCAAAAGAAATTAGCAGAGTGCACCATGCAATATCCAAGCCAATGCTTTTACTCCATTATTTCTTTCCTCTTAGAACTCAGTTTCTAAACTTGGGATCAGCACACAATGATATCACCACCTCAGCAGTGAAAGCCCCCTAGCGCTTTGAAGGTTTTGCTGAAAAAATACAAACAGAAAAACAAAGCCTTCAGATAAAAAAAAATTGTCAGAAGACTTTGATATAAAATTGTCAACTTGGTAGTTTAACAAGGCCCTCTCCCCTTCCCCCTGCAGCAAAAGGCTAAAAGTTCAAGACAAGCAAAGGCCTATAGCAATCACTTAGCAGACCCAGCCCTGCTGCCCTGGTCACATTATACTGCATTTGTCAAGTTTGATAGTGATCTCTCTCTTCTTGGAGGAACCAACTCTTTTTTTTTTAATTGACTTGTTTTCTGAGCCATGCCAACATTCCAGCCACATGAGAAAGCCTGAACATATTTAAACCCCAAATTCAAAGTACTGTTTGTACTGCAAACATGTTACAGTTGTCAGCGAACAGTACATAAACACATTAGAGCGGGAGTGGAAATTGAATGAACATTAATTTCTGGGGTTCACTGCCAAGTGCAACCCTATATTTTAGAAGCTTTATCCAAACTGGAATAGCCTTCCCCAAAATCTATTTCAAGTGATTATGGGACAAATCTTTGTGGATGCTAATTACAGCAGCACAGCTAGTAATTCAGTCAACCCTTCAGTAATAACTGGGAAAAGGAAAGAACTTATCTGAATTTCCTCTTCTCTTTCACAGCAAAGCTGGTCTAACAGTCCAGCAGTTAAGAGGACCCAGGGACATTTATATATACAAAAGCATGTTGTAACCATTTTAATGGTGTGGCTCATTTTAAGGAAATAAGCTAGTGAAATTCCTTACATATCTTATTCCGCACATGTTCTATAAAATTTTTGCTGCCATGGGTCCTTTTTTCTTACATAGGCCAAGAAATCCAGTATTTAAAAAATAAATTAGTATTTTAAATGATTCGTGATTTAAACTATGGGTATCTTATTGTCAATAGAACTGAAAACACAAATTGCAAAACATTTAAAATAATCTTAC